TGTGGTGCTGGGGGATTGAACCGCAGTCCCTGATGCTTTGCCAAGCTTGTTCTAAGTAGGTGCTTTAGACCACTGAGCCATCTCTCCAGCCCCCAGATTTAAATTTTAAGAAACTTGGTGCATGTTGAATTCCAGTACTTGGGGTAGTTCTGGAAGCCAGGTCCAAGGTTAGGTGTCAGAAGGTTTGGTTTCTTCTGAGACCTTTTTCCTTGGTGAGAGTGACAGCAAGGAGTGTAGCTTCTTTAGTGAGTGACTCTTACATAAGAGTAAAGGGTATAATGAGTTTAGGCTTAGTGAACTCAACACAGGTGGAGCCATATTTTGGGGTAGGAGGATCAGTGACCAGGTCTCCCTCTGGATGCTTGCCTTTGGAGGCTAGGAAAAGTGGAGACATTAAGTGTTACTCTGAGCAAGCAGGTCCTCATCTGATGCCCTATTTTTGGCAAAGAGCAGGCTTTGTGTGAAGGGCAAGGCCTTTGTCCCAGTGTTCAGGATTTCCTCTTTGCCTCCCTTCTGGAGGATCAGCCTTGCTGATGCAGGGTTCCCTGTTCACTCGGGATGGGCTTCACATCTGGGGAAGGCAGGACTTGATGATTGAACATGCTCATGCTTTCCCTCACTGTCCTTGCTCTAAGTAGTATGAGATTTCCCTTTCTTTGTTTCTCTTTTTTGCATTGGCATTCTTGTTGTTTTTTGAGATAGGGTCTCACCACGTGGTTTAGGCTGCCCTTAACTCACTGTAGTCCAAAGTAGCCCCAAACTCTTCATGATCCTTCTGCCTCAGCCTCCTGAGTGCTGTAGTAGGGATATGTTTAGCATTTGTTTAGCTTCTTGAACCTAAAGCTAGATAGTTATGAAAAGTTGCATTTTGTTCTTTCTTTTCTTTTCCTTTTTTTTTTTCCCCCCCAGTACCAGGGATTGAACTCAGGACCCTGTGCTTGCCAGGCAAGCACTTATTCCACTGAGCTATCTCCCCAGCCCTCTTTCTTCTATTGTCTAGCTGGTTGGTTTTTTGTTTTTTTTTTTTGTTTTTTAATGTTTTAGTGTGGAGAATTTTTTAATGATTCACCTTGTATCATTCAGCATTTTTTTTCCAGTTGGTTTTATATCTACTCTTTTTTTTTTTTTTTAAATGTGTTTAGTACAGGGTCTCACTATGTAGGTCAGACTCACAGTGATCCTCCTGTTTACAGCCTATCAAGTGCTTAGATTATAGGCGCCCACCACCACACCCAGTCTCAATTGCTGTCTCAGCACAGCAGGCCCAGGGATCGAACTGGCTGTCTAAGCAGGTGCTTTAATCCGCTGAGCTATTTGGCCACCCTTCATATCTACTCTTACTCACTTCCCTTTCTCTTCTTGAAGATGATTTTGAAGCAAATTCCAGACATAGCATTTCATCTGTAAATTGTGTGTTTGTGTGTGTGTGTGTGGTACTATACCTCTGAGCTACCTCACCAGCCCATCTGTATTTTTAGAAGATAGTGCTAAGAGATAAAGATTCTTTAAAGACACACACACACACACACACACACACACACACACACTCTACCAAACCCGGAATGGTGCACAGCAATAGTGTAGCACTCTTTAAGAACTATAATCCCAGCTGGGTATGGTGGGGCACACATGTAATCACAGTACTTGGGAGACTGAGGCAGGAGGATCACTGGTTGACGCCCAGCCTGGGCAACTTAGTGAATTAATGAGACCCTTTTTTCAAAATAAAAAATATAATACGGGGGCTGGGAATATAGCTCAGCAGCACAAGTGCCTGCCTGGCAAGGGCAAGGTCCTCAGTTTGATTCCCCCTGAAAAAAAGAAGGAAGGGAAAGAAAAGGAAGTATCAAAAAACAAGAACAAAACCCCACAAATTTATTACCACACCTTTTTTGGTTTTGTTTTGTTTTTTGGCAGAACTGGGGATTGAACTCAGGCCCTTGCGCTTGCCATGGAAGTGCTTATTCTACTGAGCCCTCTCTCCGGCCCCAACACACCTAAGTTTTGAAAAAAAATATTTTAATTGTAATATACAACATACTACTGTTAACTACTATTTTTCAGTGTATAGTTGCTGTTACCGAGTTCACTTACATTGTTGTGCAGCTGTCACCACCATCAGTCTCTAGTACTTTCTTTTTTTTTTTTTTGGTGGAACCGGGATTGAACTCAGGCCCTTGTGCTTGCCAGGGAAGCACTTATTCCATTGAGCCATCTCCCCGGCCCCTCTAGTACTTTCAGTCTCACAAAACTGAAGGTGTTCTCAATAAACAATAAATTCCCTCCGTCTCCAGCCCCTAGCAGCTACTCTTTTACTTTCTCCTCTGTGAATTTTACTACTCTAGACACCCCACACAGCTGAAAGTGCCTAGCTTATATCACCTAGCATAGTGTCCTCTGAGGTTTATCCATATTGTAGCAGATGTCATAATTTTCCTTCTTTTTTAGGATTGGATAATCATTTAATATATCTGTTTATCTGTGGCAGCACCTTTTGGTTTTTTTGAATAATGCTGCTGTGAATTTGGATGTACAAATATCTCTTCAAGACTCTGCTGTCAATTGTAGAAATAAAATTAGTGGTTCATATAATAGTTTTTTTTTTTTTTTGAAGATCCATCCTATTCTTTTCCATAGTGGTGATGCCATTGTATCATTCCTGGGAATAGTACAGACAGATGAGAGGGAGAGGGAGAGGGGGAGGGGGGAGAGAGAAGAGAGAGAGAAAGAGAATGAATATAAAATTATTTTTTTTTTGGAACCGGGGATTGAATCATTCCTGGTAATAGTACACACAAGTCCCAGTTCATATTTTTCAGCAATATTTGTTATTTTCTGTTGTTCCTTGTTTTCTTATTTTTGTTCATTATTTTTAAGTTGTTTATTGTTTTGTTTTGTCTTGGGGGATCAATCTCGCGGCCTCAGCATGCTAAGCAAGTGCTGTAGCACTGACTATATCCTCAGCCCTTATTTTCTGTGTTTTGATTATAGCCATCCTAATGGGTATAAGATCACCTAAATTTTATTTGGTTCTAGGGATTGAATCTGGGGCCTCTAGCAATGATGACTGTGTACTCTACCACTGAGCTTCATCTGTAGTTAAATTTGAAAAATCCTTTACCATGAAATACCTAGTAAGTGTTCATATTCCTGCCTCATCCTCCCACAGTACTGAGATGACAGTTATGCATCGCCATGCCCTGGTTGCATTTTTTAACATTTTGAGACAGTTTTACCAAGTTATCCATGGTGAACTCAAACTTAGAATCCTGCTCAGCCTACTTGACTTTGGGATTATAGGTGGTTGCCACCACACCTCACTTAAAATTTTTTAACTGTAATCCTCTATATTTTTATACATGAATTGTTATATACTGTATATTGCTAGCCCTATACCTCAAGTCCTTGGGTTTTTAAATCTGTAGCACTTGTTTCTGCTGCTTATGTACAGTGGTGTTGTTTCCTTGAAGGTCTTATTTTTATATAATATTTAGTTAAATACAGTGGGAACCCTCTGTGTATGTCATCTTCCAAGCAGAGATTTCTTCATTATGAAACTTGTTCCCCTTTTTTTTCCTTTCCATTTAATATTTTGAATGTATTTGTCATTATCTTTCTCTCTCTCTCTCTCTTTTTTTTTTTTTTTTTTTGTGTCTGGCTCAGCCCACCCTGGGAGCAGGGCTTGCGCTGTATGTGGTGCTGGGAATTAAACAGGGGTTGGTCCCTCGCTTGCTTAAGCTTGCCTAGGCACTTTAGACTGCTGGGCTATCTTGCCGGATCCATTATTCATTTTTAATGACTGTATCCCTTTATGAATATGTAATCATTCAAACATTGTCTTATTGAGGAGCATGAGTTTATTTTTTGTTTTTTGTTACTATAAATAAGATGGCAGTAAACACCCTCACATAAAATTGGTTGTGTATTTCTGCTAATGTTTCTGTAGGCTAGATCCTTGTGAGTAGGATTAGTAGTTTATGAAACTTTGAATACTGCCAAATTGCCCTAAATAAGATATACCAGTTTATACTTAGACTAGCAGTGTGAAAATATCCATTGTCTTGTTCTCTTTTTTTTTTTTTTTTATGGGCACGATGCTTTATTATTGAAGTTTATGTAACTTTCATAATTACAACCTACAATTTAGAAGGTTGAAAAGTAAAGAGAAAATTCTATAAAGAGAGCCCAAATAAAGCTGTTGTTCTCTTTTTTTGACAGTAGCTATTACTGGTCTTTTTAATTTTGCTGCCCTGAAAGAGGAAACTCATATTCTCTTTAGAGCTGATACTTTGGTTATTTAAGTTAGTGAGGATAAACTTTGGGTATTTATTAGACTTTTATTTTTAGTTTTAGTTTTTTAAGACATAATCTTGCTATGTAGTTCAGGCTGGCTTTGATCTCAGTTTGTTTGTTTGTTTGTTTGTTTGTTTGTTTTGTATTTAGGGAAGGGTCTACAGGGTGTTCTGGGTCTCACTACTAGATCAGACTCATAGTGATCTGCCTGTTTACAGCCTCCCAAGAGCTGAGATTACAGGCATGCACCACCATGCCCAGTCTCAATCATCTCAGTGTGCCCCAGGGGTGAGGCCTGCACAGCAGGCCTGGGGATCGAATCCCTGGCCCCTGCACCTGCTTGCAGAAGCTTTAATCCCTGAGCTATTTGGCTGGCCCCTTCAGATGTTTTTTTCTAAAAAATTATTTGTGGTTTTTGTTTTGGAATAAGAGAACATTAGTTTTTTCTTTATGTGTGTAGTACATAACTACTTAACACCTTTTGTTCTGTTTTGTCCTTATACTACTTTGTAAATTTGTCTGTAGTTTATACGTGTTCTGAAAGGGAGGGTATTTTTCCTTTCTGTACCAGTTTTTGGGCACTGGAAATGAGCTTGTGCTGTTAGACCTATAGACAAATAGAAGCATGGTACATAATCTTAGTGGCCTTGTGCGGGAACATAACTACTGCAGATTGATTGCCTTAGATCTGTGGGGCATTTTGTCCTGATTGCCAAAATGGAGATCCTAGTGACTGAAATGTAGCTCGTTCATAGATGGTGGCCTCCTTCCTGTACTGAATCTATTTGAATTTCAGGAACATGAGGATCACCCCCGGAGAGGACGAGAGGATCGGCAACACCGTGAACCATCCAATCAGGAGCACAGAAGGGCTAGGAACAGTGACCGAGACAGACACCGAGGCCATTCCCGCCAAAAGAGAAGCTCTGGAGAGAGGCCTGGGAGCGGGCCACCTCAGGGATGGGAGCGAGACAGCCAGAACCTGCAGGCTCAGGAAGAAGAGCGTGAGTTCTACAATGCCAGGCGGCGTGAGCACCGCCAAAAGAATGAAGGCAGCGGAAATGGTAGTGGTGCTCAGGAGTTGGGGCCTCGGCCTGGTGGCAACAATAAAGACAAAGAGGTGCCTGTGAAAGAAAAACCAAGCTTTGAACTCTCTGGGGCTCTTCTTGAGGACACTAACACTTTTCGGGGTGTAGTCATTAAATACAGTGAGCCCCCAGAAGCACGTATCCCCAAGAAACGGTGGCGTCTCTACCCCTTTAAAAATGATGAGGTACTCCCTGTCATGTACATCCATCGACAGAGTGCTTACCTTTTGGGTCGGCACCGCCGCATCGCAGACATTCCCATTGATCATCCGTCGTGTTCAAAACAGCATGCAGTCTTCCAGTATCGGTGGGTACACGTGGAGTGGAAGCACTCAAAGTGCCAGCAGACACTGGGTGTTTGTTAGTTAGGATTACTGATACTTGCTTACATGTACGGTGGTACCTCAGTTCATGAACCTAATTCATTCTGCAATTCTGAAAAGGATGAATGTGGTTGTGTTCATTACCTGATGCAGAGTCCTCAAAAAATAAAGCTTTGCCAAATGCTTCTGTTTGCAAACCAAATTGTTGACAAACATAAGTGTTCATGAACCAAGGTATTAGTGTATATACAGAATCCCATACCCATCATGTCTAATACTGGCTTTATTGTGATTGATTGATTGATTGATTGATTGATTGAGACAGGGTCTTACTGTATAGTTGTGGCTGCCCATGAACTCACTTTGTAACCAGCCTGGCCTTGAATTTGAGGCACTCTTCTTGCCTCAGCCTCCTGAATGCTGGGATTACAGGCTTGTGCCACCAAGTCTGCCATTCATTTATTTGTAGGAGAACATTGAACATGGTGTCAGAAAACCTGAGTTTTGAATTCTGCTATTGGTGCTTTCCAAGTATTTGATGTGGGGCCAGCCTGCCTCATAGGGCTGTTATGAAGGTTAATAGAGCTATAACTGAAAAAGCCTGTCATGGGGGGCTGGAAAGATGGCTCAGTGGTCTAAAGCACCTACTTAGAACAAGCTTAGCAAAGCACAGTGGACCGCAGTTCGATCCCCCAGCACCACATGCCAGCCCGCCCCGCCCCCTGGTGGGCTGAGCTGGCCACACACACACACACACACACACACACTAAATGTAAAAATAAATAATTAAAAAAAAAAAAAAAAAAAGCCTGTCATGTATGGTAGCTCTGTCTGCCCCTGCCTAACTTATGTAGTAGTATCTGTTACTATGTGGCCCTTTGAACACTTCTCTAAAGAATATAGCTAGTGTTAATATTCCTATTTGACATAAGAGAAAACCAAAGTTCAGTAGAGCCGAGCAACTTGCCTAATAAATGCTCAGTTTACCAGAACTCTGGTTCTAATCTAGCTCCCTTCACTTTGAAGTCCAAGTCCACTGTTTTGTTTTGTTTTTTTCATTTGGAATGAAGCTAAACTGTTAAAATATAGGCCAAAGAAACATTTATTGGTGATATACAACAGGATTGACAATAGGGCTGAGCTTCTACCATGGACTCCCTCCATCCACCTAGCAGCCAGTTCTTAGTTACTCTTCTAGTGTGTGTATTCTCACTGCAGCACTGTTTTACTACCCAGTACAGTGCTTTCCCCTTGATTTCCTAGTTTAACTTGAATTGTGTTCAAGCTAGGTTGCTTACATCATCTAAGCTTTGTACAGACCTTTAGTTAGAGAAGGGTGGATATCTGAGGCAGGATTTTGCTCACTATTCTTTTCTCTCTGCTAGGCTTGTGGAATACACACGTGCTGATGGTACTGTTGGCCGAAGGGTAAAGCCCTACATCATTGACTTGGGCTCAGGCAATGGAACTTTCTTGAACAACAAGCGCATCGAGCCACAAAGATACTATGAACTAAAGGAAAAGGATGTGCTTAAATTTGGGTTCAGCAGTAGAGAATATGTCCTACTGCATGAGTCATCAGATACCTCTGAACTAGACAAGAAGGAAGATGAGGATGACTACGAGGAGGAAGTAGTTTCTGACAGCTAGCAAACTACTCACTGAATGAGTGAGATACCTTTTCCTTCTTGGAACACTTTAGGATGGCCTCAGAGCACATGCTGCTCTCTGGAATGCCTCTTACTGCCTTAAGCCTTTCTTCTGTTGCCACCCAGCTTACATGACAGTTGAAGGACATGGACTTATGTTTCGTTGAACTTCTTCTGTGGCACATCAGCCACACATCTGTGGGTATTTGTTTTCAGATCTGCTACTGAGGATACAACCCTTAAAGGAGAACTGTGGCTTGTTCTCTTTATACGGTTACTTTATTTATATAGTTATTAAATTTTGTGGACCAAGAGTTTTTATTTTGGGGGTCAAACCTCTGAGCAAAGAATCTTACTAAGCTTTGGTGGTCACCAGAACAGCCTCCAGCATATGCCAAAGCTTCAACCTGATTGAGCTCTTGAGTCATACAAGTTGATTTTGCACTTAGTTTTTGTTGTTTTGGGGGAGTACGAC